TTATGGAAAAACACAGTGGCTGAGATAAACACCACAGTTAATTGAACTAGCTGACTCAAACTACTTATCCAGTTTTCTACTTCTAAAGAATCTTTATACAGAACTGGGGGACAGGCCAGAGATGCGGAGGGTGAGAGGATTCACCAGAGACAGAGCAGGGAGCAGAACAGGCAGATCGACAAAGTACACTGCTGAGGGAGCAGTGGGTGTGCCAGGAGAGGTCTGCCTAACCATGTGGATCTCCTCCGGGGCAGGTGGGGATCAAACTCATGCGGAAGTGGCTTAAGCTTCTTAGTGCAGTGCTTTAACCTGCTGCACCACCAGGGAGGGCCAGGAATATTTCTTTAACTCAGTGAAAGAATTTTAGTACCAGAAGGGACAGGTGGGAGGGAGGATAGGATAGGGGAATGGAGTCAAAGTGGGCACTGGCATAGGTGGTTTGGTGGTAGACAAATGGAATATATACACAGATCAAAAATATAACAAGTTCGAAATTTTTAAAAAAAAAGTAAGTAAAAAGTCAACTTATATTACAAACTACAATGAAATGATCTGAGAATATAGACAGAACTTATTTTCACTGCAGTGTTTCTAGAAACATAGCACAAAAAGATAGTGAAATCGCAATGCTACTCATGTTATGTAACACATGACAATAGTGAAGCTACTCTAAATTTTGGGTTCAAGTCATAAATGACAAATAGAAAGTTACTGGAACAAGCAAAGCTATGTGAAATTCATGTAATAATTTGTGCACTAAATTCGGTAAGGAGTCACTGGTTATCTCCACAATATTTACACAAGGTATACATAACATACCATAAAGAGGATAAAGATCATATAAAGTAGCTAAGGAGATAACCTTTGGGCCAGTACCCCAATATTATCGCTGAGTCTGGCACAAAGTAGGTGATCAATAACATTTGCTAAAATGAACAGAAACACTGATTTAGAACTAAGAACTATGGTAAACGTTAAATCTTCAACTGTTATTTTTCCCCCTAGATGAATGTTCAAAAAAACAAGTATAGTCATTCAAAAATCATTTACCTAGTCTTCCATCTAGGCCAATATTATGTTAGATGTCCATCATGTTTGTGGTTGATGATAAAAACCTTTTACCCCTAAAATGAGTAATTTTTTACCCTAAAAATTATTTCTAACTGCTAACATTAAACTGATTTGCTTTTTACCTTTTAATTCATCAAAATCTAAAAAGTTGTCTAGCAGAATCTGTTATGTTCTGATTCTACAGTACTTCAGTCGAGTTTTTCTAGAGTTGTATAAACTGTTAATAGTAACTAAGGCCATTAGTACACTGTTCAGTGGGCATTGATAAAGTTGCCTGTGTCAGTACCACATGCCAGCTTCACATTTGTGATGCTAAGAGTAACAACTCCAAAAACAGATATACTTACTTATAAGTATTAAGAAATAGTATGTATTACGAAATAGTAGATGAGGATAAGCAAGGAGCCATGTATGTCATTTTTTAAGTAAATTGCTTACTTGGACTTTACATTCCACAACTGCAGACTTCCTTGTTCACTGCCAAGAAGTATTTTATTCAAGTAGGTACTCGGATGCAAAATTGCAGAAATTTTAAATACTGATTTATCGAATGTCAACTGTAGATACTCTTCTACAAGAATGAGAGTCATATATAATGCATATTTTTAATAGTTAAAAATATTTTTTCATTTAATATATGTAGCAACTAAAGTAAGTTTACATCAAATACTTATACACTGATAAAAATCAAAGACATATATTAATCTATAAGCATTCCTTGAAAATATAAACAAATGTGAGATATTTGTAAATGTAATTTAAACCAAAAAAAAATTTCTAAAACTTCAAATATCAATACTATACAAACTTTATGGCTTACAGAAAAGCAAAAATAGTATTTAAAAAGTGACACTAGAGATTGACCCTACTACTTTTATAATTTGGTTTAGAGTTACAGAAAATGCCGTAAGTGAAGTACTTCATACTAAGTTCTTCTAGGGAGTGAAAAGCCAAATACTTAAGAGAGCTTTGAACTATCAAAGACATAAAAAGTTCTTCAGCAAACCATGAGTCTAGTAACCGTGATTCTGGCACATTTTAACAAAATAACCTCTAAGGAAAACTTATAACTCCGTGGAGAGGCATGGCACAGCTAGTAATCACTTACTGCAGAATCAAAAGCATTTTTAAAAATTAAACATATATAGATATATAAAATTTCAGCTGTGATTATAACATTTTTTACTAAATTTGAGTATCAAAGACAGTACATTTCATTTAATTGTAAGTTTCACAAATCATTTAGCATACTGTTGCACACTTCCAAGGGCTGTGTATTCCAGTTTAAAAAACATAAGGACAGGTGAAAATTACACAAACATTAAATAGAATTTAAAATGAGCCTTGTCTCTCCTCTACAAATAGTCTTATTGAGATTCACTACAAACATCTGAAGGTAGCAGTTCAATGTACTGCTGTAGCAATGGCAAAAAGCTGGGTGTAAGGGAAAAGAGAAAGTCCACTAAATCATTAATGATTAGATTCTCTAACTTTGATATAGTGACATAGGGACTACTCTGGAATTCTGTTCCCTCTACTTGAACCAAGAAAAACAAAGAAAAGCGTGACTAATTTAACTAAAACAAAGAATAATGCTCACAGGATGGGGAGGTTGAGGAAAAATCTCCAAGATTTTTATTAAAAATAAAGATACTGCATTAAATCGTACATAAATGAAGAAGTAATATAAATTAAAAGTATAAACTTTTATTCAGGAAAGATGGGGCTATATAAGTTATGAGTTCGCTAATTTTTTATGATAATACATACTCCATATACATAAGTCACTGACTAATATCTTTAGAAAACAGATACCTATTCTTCCTTCAGATCACAAGATCTTCAAAAGTTTATTAACATAACCTTTATCGAAAATTAAAAATAAAATTCAAGAATTAGTCAGGTGTGATCATATACCAGTATTTACTCCACAGAGAAAGCAACGTCATTAGACCTTTATGGAAAAACACAGTGGCTGAGATAAACACCACAGTTAATTGAACTAGCTGACTCAAACTACTTATCCAGTTTTCTACTTCTAAAGAATCTTTCTCTTTATACATGTTAAACATTATTTTAAAAAAAAATTTACACTTTTATGCAAATCTTTGATATAGAGGTACTTTCATACAAATATTTAATTTTACTAACATACATAAGACCCAAATTAAAGCAATAAATCTTACCTTCTGAATATATGTGCCAAATAATAAGAACACTGTCAATATCAACAGAAATAACATGATCCCCAAAGGGTTGCAAAAGATGAATTTCTGACTTATGACCCTTAAAAGTATGTACCACCTATAATGTCAAGTTAAAAAAAAAATTATATTATTCATTAGTACATAATATCATTCATATAACTCCCCTCCCCGCCAAAAAAAGCTAATCCTAAAGATGCTCACATTAAGAAACATAGGTCCAATTTCTGATTATCCAAGGTTGGGGTAACAAACAGCAAGGAATCAGGCATTTTCAGTTGCTCTCCCAGACAGTTCAGTAATAAGGAAGTAAAAGCCTAGACTAAGAACACAGAAAGGCGACCTGAAGCTCAGTTTCACTAGCTCAGAACGGAGGCATGCAGAACACTGGGTCCCTCGTGCAATCCAAGCAATGTAACACATGCATCTTAGGAAAGTGGTATGTTTAGGGGCTAAAATACAGTCTTCACCACGGGTTGGTTTCCAGATGAGACAGGGTAGGAGATACAGGCTTTTTGCCAATACTTTTTATTTTGACCCTTTCCCTTTACAGGTCCCCATGGCTTCAATTCTCGCCATATTTGAATAACACATTTCTTCTACTTGTCCCTTCAGCACTATGGGTGATAACAGCTCCCCAGCTGACAGTCTCTTAATGCCTTCCAACCCATGCTTTCTATATACAACCCTCCCAAGAAACACACAAACTGCGATACATTGTGCAAAAATGAACATCTTCCCTAATGCTCTAAAATTTCACACAGTTCCCATTAAGGATCTCTACAAGTAAACTGCCTTCCTCCCAGAAGTTAATGATGGTGGAGTACTTTTGGAACAACTATCAACCCTGGTAAGTTTTCCAGGCAGCCCCACTATCACTTTCAAGAGCTAGATCACTGCTCAAATTAGCTGTTACAGGACAAACTTAGAAACCAACTGGCAGATTAAGACAAGAAAAAAAAGTCTTTCTTAGCAGTGAAGAAAACAGAGTATCTAGTATGTATATACATATGTGTGTGTGTGTATACTCATACACACACACACACACACACACACACACACACATATATATATATATATATATATATATATATATATGTGGAACAAGTACTTGTTTCTAGAATAGAAACCATGAGTTGAGTTGTTCTGAAAAAAATGCCAATCCATGTAAGGCAGGTTACAAATAAGAATATCCCTGAAAGCATTTTCAGAATACACATAACTAAATTCTATCCCAACTAAGTATACAAAACAGACAGCTCCAGATATGAGACCATGAAAATTTTAAAGATGCCTAAGTAATCTGATGGTCACCTCTGGCAAAGAAAACTAATCTAGTTTGTTTCATACATTTCTCTTCCTTCAGAAAACTAATGTGCATTTTAAAAAAAAAAAGGGATTATGTCTGTAGTGTCCCAGATTAAGAAGGGCAACATTAAAAATCCTTCTACTATCCTCACAACTAATTGCAAAAAAAAAGGACAAAAAAATCAAAATACGTCAATGACACAAACCTCTTTATTACGAGCAAATGCAGAGAAAACATTCCCATAAGCAGCAAAGACTAGCTTTCCATCAGCTGCCATACAGCAGATATCCTGTGGAACAGAGTTACCTAAGAAAAAAGAAATACAAAATAAAAAAATAAATAAGACTTTAAGATCCTAGAAAAGTTCTCCTGTTTCTTTCCTATAAGTCATATTTAAGAATGAAATTAGAACCTCTCAGCCCTGGTAAACTCTTTATTCCATTTAACAGCTCTCCCATACATGTATGTTAAATTATATAAAACTACATATATACATATATACACACACATTACATACATACCTATGTATTTTATCCCTTTCAAGGTGGGGGGATAGCGTGAGAAAAAGTAAAGCCCTTCCTTTGCAACAGAAGGAATGACAGAACCAGAAAATCACTATTCAGTAATCACAGTAATAATTAATTCAGGAAAGAATCATTAGTAATGATAAAAATAGAGTGTAACTTTGAGAATAGGAATACCTATATAGTGTCAATGTATGTTATTACAAGAAATCTATTAATTACTAAGGGTAAAGCTTTCGAATGGAGCCTCCTGACAGGTTTAATCTTAACTAAATGATCAGTTATTATTGCCAGGAACAGAACTAACATACAGTATGTGCCTCCTGACAAGGTATACTGAGAACTCAGCATCAATTCTTTGTTATTCCAGCCTTAGTGTGTAACCTAAGGTGCGTAACCTAAGTCTAGTAAGAAAACAGAGAAAATCAATGCTGTGGGCCCTCCCTGGTGGTGTAATGGGTTGAAGCGCAGCACTGTGAAGCTCACCACAAAGGCTTAAGTTGGATCCTAGCCAGAGAGGTAACACACATGGCGTGGCAGACCTCTCCTGACCAGCCCGCTGCTCACCTCAGAAGTGTACTTCCTCGATCTTCCTGTCCTGCTCCCCACTATGTCTCTGATGAATCCTCTCACTACTCCTGTACCTCTAATCAATACCTCAGTTCTGTGTGCATAAATAAATAAAACTTAAAAAACCAATGTTGTGAAATGCAAATCTGAATTATTCCAGACTCAAGAGAACTAGAATAGTCAGGGCAATTGAATGCAAAATATATTCCTTCCTGGATTTCTTTGCTTGTTGTTGTTATGCAAGCTTATTAGAAATATATACTAGATTCCTTGCATGTTCCAAAAATCTGAAACTTATATAAAAAATGTCAAGCTTTTAAAAAATTAAACATACAAAGCATATATAAATTCAGAGTAAAGTCTATACTTACTGACTGCAACCAGGCTAAGTTTCTGAACCTGTAAAAAAAAAAAAGATCAACTGTTTAATCATTAAAAAATACGCAATAACCTAACTCTTGGAGATTAAGATTCAACCTCATATATGAATTTGCTATGCTGTTGTTGCTAAATAAGATACTCATCCTAATTTTTATTACTACAAAAGTTTGTATTTCCAACTATATTACTAGGAGTGGTGATGGAAGAGATATTTTTCTATAATGGGCCATATTGTAAATAAGCTAGAGCTTTGTAGGGTATATGATCTTTCTTACAACTACTCAATATCTTATTATAGCCGTCACACAACAAACCTAAGCAAAAGGGAGTGTCTGTATGCCAATGAATTTATTATATGAATATAGAAACTTGATTTTCATTTGTCATGAAATAGTGTTCTCTGTGAATACTGTTCTCTTGATTTTTTTCTCCTAACCATTTCTAAAAATGTGAAAACCACCTATCTCAGAAGCAAGAGCTCAGCAGGTGTAAAAAGAAAACCCACCGATTAGAGATGCAAAGTACAAAGTCTGAAAAAGCCCTTGGAGATCAATGAAATACACTGTTTCTTAAACAGAAGTAAACACATAGCTCTATCCCATGCCAAAATTAATTTTATTGAATCCAACTACAAGGCAATTTTACTTGGAGGTTAAGTTAGAATAAACAGAAACACACATAGAAAAAGTTAAAATATCAAAACCATTTACAAGTCATAGGTTATACAAAACATGGTGGGGAAAACAGGCTCACCGGCCATAGTTTGCTGACTCCAATTTATGGTTACTAATTCAGCTAAGTGACCTTCAGAAAGTTACTCAAATCCCTTGTGCCTTGAATTCCTCACATGTAAAATGATTAAACTATTTTATCAGAATATTACAAGGATTCAATGAAAAACATCTAAGAAATAGAATGGAGTCAAATATATAGCAAATGCTCAAGTTGCATCATCACCTCCATCATCTAACTACGGCTAGTCTTCTTAGCCCTGTAGAGAAAAACTCTGTAGGGAGTTGACTGGACAATATTGTCATCGCCATTAGACAGAGATTTGCAAGTCCACTGGAGAACTGAACACACTGAAGTTTTTTTGCTCCCAGGTTATTTTCAATTTCAGCACTCATAGCCTAAATCACTGGTTGATTGAAAAGGGTACAAAGCTTTTCAACAATAAGCATTTACATGCTGTTATGATTACAGTAAATTTTAAAATTAGAGAAGACCTTAAGTAACATCTTTCCTATGATTATATTAAAGCAACTTTTTAAAAAAGATTTGTTTATTTATGCATACAGAACTGGGGTACAGGTCAGAGGTGCAGGGGCAGAGAGAGGATTTACCAGGTACAGGGTGGGCAGGGGATCAGATAAGATGGACAAAGTACACTGCTGAGGGGAGCAGTCGGGGAGACAGGAGGTCTGCCACACCATGTGGGCAACCTCCAGGGCTCGGGGCTGAACTCGCATTGAGGCAGGTGCAACCAGCTTGCAGTGCTGTGCTTTAAGCCACTGGTCCTCCAGGGAGGGCCCCTAAAGCAACTTTTAAATTTTATAAATTTAAAATGTTTCTTTGGGGGCCCCTCCGCTGGTGGCACAATGGCTGTTAAAAGCACAGCACTATGAACCTGGCAGCAACTGCTGCAACACAGCTTCAATCCCAGTCCCAAGGTGACCCACATGGCCTGGGAGACTTCTCTGCCTGCTGCTCCCCTCAGCAGTGTACTTCGAAGATCTGCCTGTTCTGCTCCCCACTGTCTCTGGTAACTCCTCTCACAGCCCCTGCACCTCTGGCCTGTACCTCATATGCATAAATAAATAAATCTTTAAAAAAATGTTTCAAATAAATCTTAAAAAAAAAATGTTTCTTTGGATGTAGATCACGGGAAAAAATATGCAACATAGTGTTATGAAAAGACAATGTATCAAAAGTAAGACTTCAAGATCTCTTAAAGAAAATTAGAAATGCTGTTATATTTCAAAAATGAAATTTTTACCATCAAAAGCAAAAGTTAGGGAACAAAGTACCCTTGGGCAGAATGCTAACAGTAAATAACCTTTCAAGAGGAAATCATGTCATTCTAAATGACTTATTTGCACCACCAATCTAGGCTTTGAAAAAAACAATGTTCCCCATCTTGGGTGGCATCATCACTTTCCTCTCCCCTAATTAAACCAGCCCCCAACAACTTGCACTTCCTGCTAAAAACCCATTTGGTTTTGTAATCCTTCAAAGAGACCAACTTTAAAGAACAGTTTCCAAAAAATGTGCTTAATTAATACTGGCTATAATCCTCCTCATCAAAAAGATAGTGCCTTCTCAAAGTACACATTCATTTAGAGAAGATCTATAAAAGTAAACGCAACAAAACTTTCAGTAACTGATGGGATATTAAATAAGAATTCCTCACTCACCAGGAAAAAGCCCTGGGCAAGTTGTAATTTTCCTGCGATTTATTTCCCTAGTTTATAGAAGGGTGCTAAGGCATGATATAAATCTTGCAAAGAAACTGCGGCAAAGCTCACAGTGGCACCATGTGTTAAACAAGAAATGTTGCATGGAAATAGATGTTCCGCTACTATTTAAGAAAATGATTTGTTATCAAGTATGAACAGATGCTAAAGTCATAATTCATCTCAACCTCTCCAGTTCTCCCTTGTACTTTAGCCTGAATTCCTAACACTGTGTCGTGGAATACACAATAAAAATACACGAAGGTTCTGACATTAAGAATGTAAGGGCTGGGCCAAGTCCTAATCATGTGCGCCTCAATATACATCTTCTAACAAATCATTCTTTCTTAGCACTGAAATCCTCTCTAATATCTTCCCCTAGCAAGACTTTCTCCGAGCCTCCCTCTGAGTGGGGTGGAAGCGTTAAATCAGCACGTGGAAGTGATCGGTTGTGAAACGAGCAAAAAACCGGTTAAGGAAACGTAGAAAACCCCTGATTTGAAAGGGTAGAGCAGCGGGATTGCCCCAGGACACAGGGCCCAACGCGGGGTCGGGGTTCCCAGAAGGCAGCGAAGGAAGTCACTCACGTCATAGGTATGGAAGCTCTTGCCCACGCAGGTCGTCACATAGAATCGGCGCTTGAGCGAGTTGAACCGCACCACGTGTGGGATGTCGTTGCTGAAAAGCCCCAAGGCCCGGAAGCCCGCAAACAGCGCGCTGGCTGTGCGGCCTCCTGCGCCCGAATCCACAGCAGAACCGGCCATCTGGATTCCCTTGGGCTCCAGGACCGAGGGCAACCGCGCACGCGACCGTCCGCCGCGTCTCGAGGCTGATCTCCAGAAGAGCCTGCAGACCAAAAAGCGCTTCCGGGTGTCAGCGGCCAATCGCCTCTGTGGGAATGCCCTTGGTTGCAACTGAAAAAGGACTCCCTCCAGTACTGGGAGGGGAGCCGCCACTTCAGTTCCGTAGCCCCTAGATTCCAGCTTCTTACTGAGGCTCCTCCACAATGATGGGACTGAAGGAAAGGCAGTTTTCCATGAAATCTGGGGCGAGGAAAATCAGATTACATTTGTGATTATAAAAGCCATGAGATTGTCGAGGAAATCGTAACACTGGAGAGTTGATTTAAGAAAATAACCTTTTTTAACATGATAGTATTTCCATCCTTATGTTTTAACATACATAGGTGGAGATACATTGAGACATATTCATTGACATATATTACCTAATATATTGATGATTTTAAAAAATAGATGGAGGGGAGAAGCAGAATTTAAATAAAAAGTTTGTTTATTGTTATATATGGGGAATGGGTAAATGAGCTACATTATACTATCTTTGTTTCTAGATTTGTTCTTTTCCGTAATAAACGGAATAATTTTTATTGAGTTTGTTTACAGGAAAAAAACCTGGGATATTGAACAGGTCTTTTATTTTAATTCCTGAATTACGGAAATAATGATTTTAATTACTGGGCATAAGGACAATGAGTTAAAAATCAGGCTATTTTTGGCCTTCCATAGAATGGACAGCCCATACCCTGAAATGTTTTTTCCCACAATTTGGACACCCAGAAAACAATATATATACATACATACATACATATATATATATATACACACACATATACATATCTTTAACAGGGGAAAAGGGATTAAGTAGTGGGGATACTCTTCTGCCCCTTTCAGTGTGGAAGTCTCTATTTTTCTGTGTGCCTGTGTGTATGTCCCCTGTATCAGTACTAAAGGACTGGAAAATCTATCAAACGCTCAAGTTGTTTTTTCAGTCTTTGAGAACTTAAAATGAATCTACCCAACATGGGATGGTTGCATGACACAGGGTAGACATGTTTAAGGGTTTTCTAAATTGTGTATACAATTCTGCTTTTACTATGGGAAACACTCTGATATCAGTTTGGGGTGAAAATTGAAATTGAAAATGTTTTCCTACTAAGATCTTATAATTTATAAAGTCTTTGACATCTATTATCTTAATATAATCTTCTTATTTCCCCTCCAAGGTAGCCTCTCCTCAAGATCCCATACTTTTTTATATTATGTCTGTGGCTGGTTTTTTGTTTTTGTTTTTGTTTTTGTTTTTCTTTCGCAGCAATCTCCTCAGGTTGGGGCAGCAGTGCAACAGTCCTTGGCCTCAGTCACCAGGTTATATTCCCCACTTTTAGTTTTTACCACCATATCTATGGTGAATATTGGACAAACCCTTTCCATTGACATAATTACAAATATTATACAACACAGTGTCACCGCTACTGATACCAGGACTACAACTGTGTAATCAGGTGGTAGAAAGCAGGTACTACATTTCAGTCTTCCTCATTCTCAATCTAAGACTCTTTCTTTGGGGATTTGTTCATTCTGGATGTCCCAGATATCTGAGACGTGTCAATGTAGTGTAGTACCACTGGACAACTCACTATGCTAGGATATTGCTACCTAGAATAAAGATATTTTTAGAAATTAAAATAAGATATAGTTTTAAATACTGAAACCTTTACTTCATTAAACATTTACATCATTAAGATGTTGAAATGGTAATTTTGATCTCCACTTTGGAGACTATAGAAAACACTTGTTTTTTTAAAGATTTATTTATTTATGCTGATAGAACGGGGTTACATGCCAGAGGAATGGTGAGTGAGAGGATTCACCAGAGACAGAATGGGGAGCAGAACAGGCAGATTGATTGAAATACACTGCTAAGGGGAGCAGCCAGTGGGTAAGGAGAGGTCTGCCGCCATGTGGGTTAGTTCTCTGGCAAGGGATCCAAAGCATGCTGCAGTGGCTTTGGAGAGCTTCATAATGCAGTGCTTTTACCCACTGCACCACCATGGAGAGCCCAGAAAATGCTTGTTTTGACCAGGCTCCTTGAGAAATTTTTTTTAAATGTTGCAGCACAGAGAAATCCCTTTACCAGCAAATCACTTACTCAATTCTTTGCATGTAAATTTTTTATTTTTTTAATAATTTTTTAAAGATTTATTTACTTGTGCATACAGAACTGGGGTACATGCCAGAGGTGCAGGGGTGGTGAGAGGATTCACCAGAGACAGAGTGGGAAGCAGGCGGGGATGAACTCATGTGGAAATGGCTTTAGCTTCTTAGTGCTGTGCTTTAACCTGCTGCACCACCAGGGAGGGCCTGCTTGTAAATTTTTTATGTATGAAAATAATCTGCTTTCAAAATAAATCCTTTATGGATTTAAGTTAATCTCTTCCCAGCTTTGCATGTAGTCCAATAAGAATTGGCTACCTCTCTAATTGCTGAGTTTGATAACACTGTACTAGCCACAGAGCCAGTCCTGAGAATTATCAGTTCCTAAAACAAGAACAATTTTTTTTTTAAAGATTTATTTAGTTATGCATACAAAGGTAGGGTACAGGCCAGAGGTGCAGGGGCTGTGAGAGGAGTCACCAGAGACAGAGTGGGGAGCAGAAGAGGCAGATCAACAAAGTACACTGCTGAGGGGAGCAGTGGTCAGGAGAGGTGCCGCGCCATGTGGGGTCACCTCTAGGGCGAGGATCAAACTCATGCGGAAGTGGCTTTAGCTTCTCAGTGCTATACTTTAACCTTCTGTGCCACCAGGGAGGGCCCAACAAGAACAATTTTTACCTGATTAAACAACAGTACATAAAATGGTTGGTAAATAATATCTAGGCTAGCACTTATCCTGAAAGAAGTATAAGCTTCCTTAAAAGAATATGCTTAAGGTTTTTTTATAACGATGGGCATCCATGTAACATTATCCTGTCTTGTAGTTAGGCTGGAGTAATGTTCTTTATTTAAAAGATCTTTTAATTTCCTTTGACAATCATACTGGGAAATCAAAGCTGCAGTACTCCATGAAAATGCTCTGGAACAACAGGACACATGAGCTGAATGCAGCAGCATTAGATTTCAATATTGTAGAAACAACCTTTAACGCTCTCCACGTACTCATAAGGATTTTTCTGACAGAATTTAGCCTCAACTTCCTAAAGACATTGCTGTCCATGTAATATTTTCTCAAATATTATACTTTTCCTAATGGAATATTGAGTATGAAACTAGAGCCATGTAGGCCCACTGATAGAAGATCTCTGCCTTTCTCTCATGCTCACTTAAAAATATATACCCTGGCCCTCCAGTGTGGCGCAGTGGGTTAAAGCACAGCACTGAGAAGCTTAGGCCACTTCTGCATGGGTTCAATTCCTGCCTGCCCCTGAGGAGATCCACATGGGTAGGCAGACCTCTCCTGACCTGCCCGCTGCTCCCCTCAGCAGTGTACTTCGTCGATCTGCCTGTTCTGCTCCCCTCTCTG